AAAACAATCTATAATAAATTCGTAAGAGTAAAACTTGAAAACAGAGACCTATGTTGTTTGTTCAAGATGATCATTATTTCAAGTACTATAAGCACAAATGTGAGGATAGTACGAGAAAGAAAGAGATTAGACGATAAGGTCAATCGCCAGAGAATGTGACACTAATAAAAATAAAGAGAACGAATCTTTTTCTCTCTTTCTTCATTTTTCTTTTTTTTTTCCCCTTTTTTGACGATTTACTTATTTTGCTCCTCTAAAACACTAACTACTGCAATATGTGACTTTTTTTAAACAATTTTTTACAAATGAAATTGAGAGGGGAGATGGAAGCATCCAAAATATTGAAGGTGATCCAAATGCGATTTATGTAACATTTAAACACGATTATTTCTTTTCCTTTTCACTTTTTTAATAATAGTGATTTGTGACATCTGTATTTCTCTTTCGGCTGAAACTGAACCATGCTTTAGAAAAAGCCACAAACAATTCTTTGACGATTCCGTCAAAAGTAAAAATAAAAAAATGGCAGATTAATGTTCTGCCAAACAAGACTTAAAAATTCGTGATAGCATTTGTTGTCATGTGAGAGAGTGATCGGCTGGTTTTGTAGTTTGTCTCTCAACTTTTGGTGATTTACTCTAATTTTCTATTCCCTAATTTAAGGATCATCATTACAATTGTCTTTAAATTTTCCTTTTTCTTATTTCTTCTTGTAAACATTGCAATCCATGAAAAAAATGCTTTTTTTCCCACTAATAAAAATATTTTTTTTAGAAACATTTTGTTTGTATTTCATAAATACAAATATATATGTTAGGGCCCGTTTGGTACCGATTAAAATCCAATTAAAATTGAAAATATAGCTGTTATTGGGCCCCACTCATCTAATAAAAATCAACAATAACGGCTAATTTTTCAATTTTAATCCGATTTTAATATCTATCAAACGGGCTTATCATGTCTAATTGTACTTAAAAGTTACATATTTGAAAAGCAAGTGCAAATTTACCTTTCTAAAAAGTAAGTTCAAATTAATGAATTCATATTGTTCCAATTGACTAAAAATTGTCGCTTCGAGGCCAAATGTTTGATTCTTGAAATTTCCCCTCCCCTCCCGTAAAAAAAAAAAGTAAGTTCAAATTAGGAATGATAAAATATCTCGCTCTTGTTTAGAGTGTCTGTTCTGCCTCATATGGCATGATAAGATGGTGTCTTGCTCTCATTGGTATGAGAATTATCAAGTTAGGAAAAAATTAGGCTGGGATGGTGAACGTGGTCTCCACCCTACCTCGCTAGACTCTTGTTTTTTATTTATATTTTTAAATTTACATTATTTTAAAAATATCAAAAATAAATAAATAAGTAAATAGGAAATAGATATGAAATGAAAATATTTTAAAACCACTCTTCAACCTCCCGAGAATCTTACTGAGAGCGGGAAACTTGTCTTGTTGACATCCCCACTTAGTTAATAAAAATAATAATTTTTATAAAAGATAAAATTAAAAATCATAAATAAATTGATTTACTTTAAGTATTGTCAAATATTCTCTTGATTTACAACAAATTAACATATAAAAATTATAGTCGCAATTACCCAAAGTTACCATTTGGAGCACTTAAATCTCGAATCAATATTTCTTGATTTTGAGAACCTCAAACTTTCATTTTAATGCGCACACATTCATTTCAATGTAAATAAATAAAAAAATTTGTTGTAGAATCATGTGCCCTACACTTAAATACGATATATTCGTTCAAGGGTATATCAATTAAAAAGGGCAAAAAAAAAAAAAAAGTTAACTCAATGTTAATTGATGAAGTGATGACAATTGAAATTAAATTAAAATTGAGTACCTCATCAAAATAAATTAAAGTCCAATAACCTAACTGAGATTTAGAGTAAAGTTGAGGGAACGAAATTGAAATTTATCGTACTAAGTCCAATCCTATGAATTTTGTAACATAATAATAATTAATTAATAAATCAATTGCAATTTGGTAACTCCATATATTGACAGGTGACCTGTAGTTTATTAAAGCTTCAGGTAAAACGTTGTCGTCTAGCCCGCCAGCCGTCGTTGGACGGACCAAACCAGCGTAAAACAATATTAAAAACAAGAAATTTCGTTGGACATACCAAACCTGCAATAAAACAAGAAACTTATGTTTCTTAATCAATTGCAATTTATTAAATACAAGAAACTTATGTCGTTGAATAAAAATTAATTATAATCAATTTCATATAAGAGGTTATGCCTATATTTAGTAAAGGTCCTAAATCTTTCAATTTATTATAAATTATACTCAAATATTTTATTTTTACACCTACGATCCCGAGCCTTTCATTTCAATTACAAAAGAACGACAATGGATAGAATCCGTCAATTAATCAGTTAGTCAACTCACAATTAAAATTTTGACTTATTTGATCAATTAAAAAGAGTAAAATTGTCAGTTCATCATTTTTTCATAAATTAATTTAAAAGTGAGAGAAGTGGAAAAACTATTAAGTGGCGATTTTACTCTTCTTTCAATTGGTCTAGAGAAGTCGAATTTTTAATTTTGGGTTGATTAATTGATGAATTGTGTCCATTGTCCTCCGGTTGCAATCGAAATGAAAGATTTGGGATCGTGAGTACAAAAATAAAAGAATTTGGGTACAATCTGTAATAAATTGAAAGATTCAGGACCCCACTGCAATTTTCCCTATGGATAAATCCTTGGGTCAACAGCGATTTTTCTACGTTACTCGTCGTACTAGCAACCTTCAAAATCAAACTAAAAACATCATCAATACCATCTCTTAAACACAAATAATTCTATATTTAGCGTAGCCTTGAAGTCAGTTCTAGCGACAAAGTATCAAATTTCTCTCTCTATTTTTGCGCACTCGAATCCCAACGTTCACGCCATTTTCCCACAAGGTGCAAATTTAGTTATCTGTTTCTAACCATTGTTTTGTGAATATTAGTGATAAATCTTGTTTAATTTATGGTTTATAGTTTTTTTTTTTTTTAAGAAAAATTGATTCCGATCTGTGTAGTTGCTTTTCTCTTCAATATGTGCAGTAAATAGTCAAAATCGTATGTTTGTGTATACGAATACGTTTGGTATTTTTTTGAGTGGTATATATGACTGCACTGTAGTTCAATACTCCAATTGATGTATTTATTGTAGGGTCTGAGCGCCTTTTTTGCTCACTAATTTTTATGAGTTGGGAAATTTGAATTGTTTGATGAAGTGATTGAGTGAACTTTTGTTGTTTGGAGCTCCTTTAATTTGCGATTTTATGACAAATTTAAGCGAACTCGGATTTTTTATTACTTAAAACTGAGATCTGCAATTGGGGAATAGTCATCTGACAGTTGAGTACTCGAAAATCTCACTGCTTGTGATGATCTTGCTTCGTTTTGTTGTTAAAATTCTTGGTCTGCAAGTTGGTTTTTTTTTTTTTTTTAAGTTTAGATTGGTGACCATTAAATAAAATATCATGTGTAAACTAAAACTAGTGATATAATATTTCTGTTTTGACCATTTGGCAAAATATGGAAAGCAATTGAGTCTTTTTTTCCCGGAACTTGTGAAATGTTTAATATGGACTCTGAAGTTTCTAAATGGCTTAAAAGGGAAATGAATGAACAAGTTTGTTGTAATTTTTTGTTATCAAAATTCCAATAAATCATATTAAATACTTTGCAATTAAGGATTTAGATCACTTTGGCCTTTTCCTTGCTGCCCTTCCAGTTTGTTTTGATCTAATTATCACTTCTGAATTAAAAAGAAAAGCTCTTTATTGTAGTCATTTCTTATCCTGTTTTTGGATTCGTGTATTTATTATTGGCTGATGAAAAGTTGTCTTTACTTTGGAGTCGAAACTGCATGTGACAGGGGAAAAGATATCTTTTACGTGAAACAACAAATCAGTTAACGTTAGCACATCTGTAGAGCCACATACCTATCCCTGACTTGGGATATTATGGTAGTGGTTTTCAATCTAATTGTTGAACTGCTTTGAATCCTTCTTAGACCAATAGCCAAGTAATCAATGTAACTCAAGTTAGTTTCCTTTTTGTCTGTGTGCTATAGAGGATCGTGGCTTTCAAAGCTTAAATTTTGTACTTTTCAAAGGCAGGAATGGGTGCAAGGACTAAAATGTGATAATAATTAGTTTACAGTTTGATTTAGTTTGTCCTGTCCTAATGTCGAATTGTCAATTTATGGTGATACTCAACGAGATCGAGTTGAATTTTACCTATAGGCTTTATAATTGCAAACCATTTAATGGTATTTCAATTGAACTATTATCCCTGATTCCAATCATGGAACTCCAATCTCCATGCAAACAATCACAACATAAGTGTGTTTTAGCAGTAGCATCATTCTTTTCTGAACATTTGAACTTATAAGGTTGCATGCGTTCATGGCCATGGGGTAAGGACAGAATTGCAGGGTGTCATAGAGTATATGGTTGGCAAGGACTGGACCATATATTTTCATACCTTATCATCATAGATATAGTTTTCCTCAAAATTTACAAATATATATTCTACAAACACAACTCATTGGCATCTTGTATGTCTTTCTTCTTTTATGGGTGAGTTTTTGAGTTTTGCACTCTTATCTGTCATATTCTATCAATTCATTGATCTATGTCGTTGTCTCTCGTTTGCTTTCTTTTGACAATTTAACATGTGTATCTTTTATGCCTCTTTAAGTTTAATAATTAATAGCTGAACCGTCATTGTGGTCCACTTCAGATGCTTTTATTCAATTTAAATTTCTGAAGGCCTTTAATGGATTAAAAAAACAATGTATTCATAATATCTGCTCCAGCCAAAGGATCTGTGTCGGAGTTGCGAAACTTTTCATTCTTAGTTTATGTACTTGTTGCAGACACCAGTGCATACAGTCCATCCGGATTAGCCATAGTTTGTTGAAGTTTGTCTATCATGATACTTGGGTCTATATGAGTTGAGACACACAAGTAATGAACAGAAATGAAGAAATGGTACGGTGGTGTTCTATCCACATCCTTCTTGATGTTATTGGTTCTTGGTTATTACGTCATAACAAATCCCATCAAGGAAGGTTACGTCCCAATTCCTTCGTACTTCAATGCAACAAATCCCCTTGAGTGGATAAATCCAGGCGCTCCTCCAGCACTTCAGAATCCAGTAAACAATTCAAAGTTGATATCTACTGGAGCTCTAGTTTCTGATCTCTTTTCTCAAAGGAACTTATCCAGTGAAGAGCTAAATTCCTTACATACATGGAACAGCTTGAAACACTTGATTAGTCATGCTCAGGGATTACCTAATGCTGTTGAGGCTATAAAAGAAGCCGGTGTTGCATGGAGCAATCTAATGGCTTCAACTGAAGAGGAAAAGCTTCATATGAATGGGAGTTCACAGAGGAGAGGAAAAGATAAACAATGTCCACATTTTCTTAGTAAAATAAATGCCACAGAACTTGATGATCGGGGATTTAAGTTGCGGGTTCCTTGTGGCTTGACTCAAGGTTCTTCAATCACAATTATTGGCATTCCAAATGGTCTACTTGGCAATTTCCGGATTGATTTGACTGGTGAACAGATTCCAGGAGAGACAGAGGCTCCTATTATTCTGCATTATAATGTTAGGCTCCATGGTGATAAGATAACTGATGATCCTGTAATAGTCCAAAACACCTGGACAGCTATGCATGATTGGGGTGAAGAGGAACGGTGTCCTTCTCCTAATACTGAGAAGAATAAGAAAGGTATATGCATATCTCATTTTCTACATATCATTTATCATTAGGCCGCATAAGGTTGTGGACTACTGTTATCCATGTTAGCTGCTGCAAACAAAATTTATCTTCTTCAGGTGGTGGTTTGTTTTTCCGCTGCTGCTATGGAACCTTGTATGGTTACTCTTAAAGTGATGGTATCATTCAGAATGAAGCTAACTCTGTTGAATCAATAAGTTTCTGCAGAGAAGTTTTTGTGTTCCACTAAGTTGGATAATTAGATTATCTTAAGTCCACACACTAAAATTTCTAATTAGGTTAATTGTCAAATATGTGGATGTTTCTCTCTCTTGCTTTCATCTTAGCTTTCACTGGTTGTACATACTATTCTCTGTTTCTGCTGATATGTTATCTTTTGGATATGGTCTTTTTCTTCCAAAATTATTGTTTTCTTTTGGTTTACTGCTTTTTCAGATATTTATAAACTATCTTGGTAAGAGGATAATGTAGCTTTGCTTCTTTCAGATAAATCTCCAGGTTTAGAATTTTTTTATAATATTTTAATATGATGATGAAAACTAGGTCAAGATTTTGCAGTAAGCATTAAGATGTAAAGAATTATAGTAGTCTATGTAGATTTCACTATTTTTTAAGCTTTCTGATGCCTAGAAAATTGTTGCATTTATTTTTGGCAAACTAATTGGTCAATGTTCTTTTTCTCTTTTCCCTCCTAATTCAATCCTGTAGGCATAATTTCTATGTGCTGACTTATTCCTTCCTTTTAGCAGTCCATTTTCTTTAGTTTGTGTCGTCACTTCATATAAGTTTACCTTCTGCCTGCATTTATTATTTTCTGTTATCCTATGCATTATATGATGCCACTTAAATTTATGCCAGTCGATGCTCTGGAGCAATGCAGTGAGATGATTGGTAAAGATAATAATCGGAGTATCAAGGCTAACAGACGTGCCAATGAGTCATCAAGGATTTCTATGTTTCAGGATGGGGAACAAAAAAAGTACTTTCCATTCAGGCAAAATGATCTGTTTGTAGCTACACTCAGGGTCGGATTAGAGGGGATCCAGATGACAGTTGATGGGAAGCATGTCACATCATTTGGTTTCCGTGAAGTACTCTCTCTCCCTCCCTCCCACACAAACACACACTGTTACAGACAAATGGGTTGCAATCACATTTATTGATTAACATTGGTCAAGTAATGTTGAATTGTCCATCTTGTCTTTTTTTGCAGACTTTAGAGCCATGGGTGGTCAGTGAAGCTAGGATTTCAGGTGATATAAATTTAATTTCTGTTGTCGCAAGTGGGTTACCAACATCGGAGGATTTAGAGCATATAATTGACTTGGAAACTCTTAAAGCAACTAAACTTCCTCCACGAAAACAACTGAAACTCTTTATTGGAGTTTTTTCTACTGCCAATAATTTCAAGCGTAGAATGGCAGTTCGAAGATCATGGATGCAGTATGCGGCAGTGCGATCTGGACAAGTTGCAGTTCGTTTCTTCGTTGGGCTGGTAGGCCACGTCTTTTCGATTAATTATCATTAATGGGTGGATTAAATGTTTAGAATCTTTCCTTAATATTTAATATGCTTTCTCGTGTATACACAAAGCAATAGGTGATTGCAATGAGTATTTGGCTAAGCTTTATAAATCAGTTTAGTTACTTTTAAGTAACATTTTATCTTCGTACATGTTTAATTAGAACTTTTTCTTACTTTTAAGTACTTACATTTTTTTTACATAACCTTACATTAGTGCAAAAACAAGTAACTTATTTCCAACTTTGACCAACTATGAAGAAATTATATTTTAAAATTTACTTCTTTACTTGTAAGTGAACCTTTTAAGCTTTACCCAAACAGGATCATTATTCTGTAATTCTATCAAACTGAACAATCCGGAATCGAGTTTTTTTTCCTATTTCCTTAGTTGTGTTTATTCTTTCCAAGTATTTCACAAAGTTGAACGCTGAAATTCAACACATCCACAATGTTGTTTAAATAATTTGAATTGCTTTATATGTCTTCCAGCATAAAAACCAGATGGTGAATGAAGAGCTCTGGAATGAAGCGCGAACATATGAAGATATCCAGCTGATGCCTTTTGTTGACTACTATAGCCTTATAACATGGAAGACCATAGCCATCTGCATATTTGGGGTAAAGAGGCTTGTCCCTTCATTACTCATGATTATTCTCATGCGCCGCCATAATTGCCCTCATCTCTTCAACAGACAGAAGCAGTTTCAGCTAAGTTCATAATGAAGACAGACGATGATGCATTTGTTCGCGTCGATGAGATCTTGGCTTCTTTAGATAGGATAAATGTGAATCGTGGTCTGCTATACGGTCTCATAAATTCAGATTCACACCCTCACCGAAATACAGAGAGCAAGTGGTATATTAGTCCCGAGGTAACTGTTCACTTGATTCCATTTTATTTCATGACTGAAAACTGCCATAGCAGTTAGAAGTTCTGCTATCTGTTTTTATATTTTTATTGATTTTTTATCTTTATAAGCTTCAATTTTTGCAAAAACTATACCAGTATTTTTATGATTGAACAAAATTAGAAAAATCAATAATTACTATATAATTTTCATACCATATTATATTAAATTTTAAGCCTAAAAATAACAAAACTCGATTATTGCTGCAACTGAAATTTTTTTTCCTCGTGTGTGTGTGAATCTTTGTTTTCTGGAAATTTAGGATCTGTTCTCTTTACCATTTTCAAGCCGATTTATGTTTTCGATTTTCCAAAACAGTGGAAAAGTGTTCTCTTTCCCATTTTCGAAAACGCGTTTTTGAAAACAAGTTAAAAATTTACAAAGAAAACTCAAAACGACAATTTGTCCTTTTTGGTGTTTTCAGTTATAATCAAGTCAAAATTTTCAAAATGCGTTTTGGGTGTTTTCAAAACAATTTTTCAAAATATCAAAAAGAACGCATTTTCAATAATTTCAAAATGGACACTCAAAACACGAAGATCAAAATGAATTCAAAACACAAAATTGAAACACAAAGAGAAGAGTCATGTTTTAATTTAAAAAATTTTAATAGATATATTGCAATACAAAAGAAGAAAAACTTTGTATCAAATTCTAAATAAATACTTAAAATTTATTAGGGAATTTTGAATTAGTTCAATCAACTTCTTGCTGTAAATAAATACAGGAAGTCAAAAGTTGAAAAATGCCTCCCAAATCGGAGATGCCTATGAAAAGTAGGATTCAGCGGTCCTTGATTCTCCTGTGTTTTATTTCTTTTCTTCTTTTGGGTGTCATTATACATCATATTATTCAAAATGACTTTTTGAACTTCAATCTCATTTTCTTCTCATCTAAATCACTTCTAGGAGTGGCCTGAAGATACCTATCCTCCTTGGGCACATGGTCCGGGTTATGTTGTGTCAAGTGATATAGCAAAGATGGTTTACAAGAAGCACAAAAGAGGTGACCTGAAGGTATAAAATGAAATTGTACCACTTTATTCTTCACTAACCTGATGTCAGGACTCAGAAATATTGAATAAATCTTAAGATACTTATAACTTAATATTGCAGATTTTCAAGCTGGAAGATGTTGCTATGGGAATCTGGATTTCAGATATGAAGAAGAGCGGCTTGGAAGTTAGGTACGAGAAGGAAGAGAGAATTTTTAACGAGGGCTGCAAGGATGGTTACGTCATTGCTCACTATCAAGGTCCTCGAGAGATGCTCTGTCTGTGGCAGAAAATTCAAGAAAATAAGCGTGCTAACTGTTGTGGCGATTAATTTAGCAAGGATAAAACTGATTGCAATTTAGAAATGGACTCGGAAAGATGTTGAACATGAGAGCATCGGCGATGCTTGGTTATCGAAGCATTCTAATTTGTCAAGATTAGTTAGTAATATGAAAATTAGTCTGTATTCTTGCATTTTGTTGATCCTGTTCATTTTTGAATGACAATGAGAGATTTGTATCATATGTAGAGAGAGGGAAGAATGACAAGGACGATTATGTATTTTGTAAAGAGCATTCAAGATTAGTTTGATCAACAGTGGCTATTATATTATACATTTATTTATTTCATCCAATCAACAGAAAAACTAAGGAATAAAGCAGAAGCCATATACCTATACTATTTCAACAAAACCAGAAAAAAAGACGCAAACTCCACGGCCCCTTCATGAAGACATACATCCGATACCATATCGAGTATTGGGGAAGATGAGAAACAAGCCACTGCAAATAATACCTACCATCAATGGAAAACTCTGCATAACTTCGTCCAATTCCTTAGCATGTCCGGGAATCAGACAATCCGTCACACGATGATCCGAGAAAGAAATGGCTACGAAAACCATTACAGACATCATTGCATGAACAAAATCTGTGAAACCAACTTTGTACCTCTCGTCTTTAGGCACTTCAACTCCAAGTCCTGGCTTGAACACTGCCAGACCCTTTGGAGTGACAAATCCATAGTAAACTTTTCCGTCCGGGCCACGAAAACTATCCGTGAAGTGGAAGAAGAAACAGGACAGATTGCAGATGCCTAATAGGACATGGATCATGAGAGTCGAAACATGAGAGCATTCCCCTTTGCCATAGACAGATGGAAGCACCATTTCAAATGTTAAAAGAGTTCCTGTTGGGAGGAAGTTTACAAGCATTGACGTTTTCGAGAGTGTTTTTTGCACTCCGCTGGCTAGCGCTCGCCTTTTCCGGCCACCAGGATGAGGTGGATCAGGGGCAGAACCGACAGGTGGCGAAGAAGGGTAGAGGGGTGGATCAACTTGGGGTGATGCATTGTAGATTTTGATGCCAATTGCTTCTGATTGCTCCATTTTTTATGGGATTTGACAGAGATTAATTAAAGATAAATAAGTTATGCAGATTTTCAGACAATTTGAGATTTTGGGAATATAATGTTGTGATTCGGAGAAAATGTTGAACATTTATAAAGCGATTTTTAAGATAACTGAAAATTTGAATTCGAAAACGGTTAAATAACTGCCAACCGCCAATCAGTGTCATCAAAATATTATTGGAAATTAGTATTCCCCCAAGTTTTTGAAAATTTTCATTTTGCCCCATAAGTTCCAAATAATGTGTTGCCAAAAGTTATCTTCATTCATGCCTCGTGTCTTTTCTGATTCAACTGAATAAAAATCTCCACCTTAGCTTGTGTTCTAGTGCTTCATCAAACTTGCTTGCTGGGGCTGGCTTTTTAAGAATGTTTGCTAAATTGTCTTGTGGTTAATGTTGGAGAATTGTTACGTGAATTATATTTCGTTAATAAAAAAAAATATGTGCATGTCGTAACTTATTGGAGCAAAATATCGGATAGAGTTTCCACATACCAAAATCAAGATATATACATAAAACAATATGCAAAACGATGACTTGCATTTGTGCAAAATATCGGATAGAGTTTCCACTTACCGAAATCAAGATATGTGCATAAAAAATATGCAAAACGATGACATACATTTAGAAAAATGTAGAAATTAGAAAGAGATGAAATAAAGCGAGGCATGCGAATACAAATCTCCTTAAGACAAATTTTGCACATTGCACTGTCCTAATAGGATCAAATAGACGTCAAGATATAATGTTTTTCCCAAAATTAATATAACACAATATTAATTCTGTTGGGCGGACTAACACTTGATTGTACTTATAGAACAGAAGATATTGTACACTAAATATCGAACGTTAAATTAAAAAATAAATTGGAAATTATTTTGACATAATTAAGAGAATGAAAGAATTAGAAATCAATTATATAGAATTGAATTGGAGTGAAAAAAAAATAGAATTTGGAGGGTTCTATTTATAGATTTTCAAGTAACTTTTTGAATAGTTGCTTCTTTTGACAGATTACAGATTTTCATATTTAATGGTGTGGATTGCCCTATCAAAAGGTCATAACTTTTCATCATGCACATTTTTATATAGTCACACCTCTAAAAAATATATGACTCTTTGTATGTACTCTTTGCAATTGAAGAGTTAAACCTATTGAAGACAATCCAATTTATACATATAAATAATTAACATTTATTTCAACAATCTCCCATAGGTCAGGGCCAATTTTACCACTGGTCAAAACTGATTTAAGGTGGGGTTTAAATTAGGGATTTCTTTAACAGCGGGAAGGTTGTAGGTGAAGGTGGTGATTATGGCATTGACTGCAGCGACGGAGGAGATGAAGGTGGTGGCAGTGGGCTTTGTTGAGGGTGGAGGGGTGGCGAAAGTAAACGAGTTTTCCATTTTTTTAAAAAAATAATTTTTCAAAATGCCAAAAAGAATACATTTTCAACAATTTCAAAATGGACACTCAAAAGTCAAAACACAAACCCAAAATGAATTCAAAACTCAAAATACAAAATTAAAATACAAAGAGAACAACCCCTTAATAATCAACATATCTCTTTTTTAATGCAAATAAGAACCAAACTTCTTTTTATCAAAGTCAATATTATTCTTTTCGAAAATCAAGCATTTTTGAAAACAATCTGCTTCCAGGTCATTTTGAATAAGCACAAATTATTTTAGATAATTAGTGAGCATTCTTCGAGCAAATATTGGAACACCATTTTTTTTTTTCTGTGAGAGATGCCTATAGAAAATTGCCTCTAGATATTCTCTTCCATTTATGTGTATATATTGAAAATGCAGCACCATTTATAAATAACAGCAATTATATGATATATAAAACTAGGGAGAAAGATACTTATCTGGTTATTCAAACGTCAACGTTGATTTATTTACTTCTTGGTTTTCATATTACAATTTTTTATCATCGAATAGGGAAATCTTCCCTCATTCTTGCATGCTTTCAAAAGCCATTTAAAATTGAATAGACACCAAACAAATTGATATGGAACTCAATCGAGGCACACTTTCACACTGTGGGTCTTTCTCTTTCTCTTCCCCATGATTATGGGCAGCGTGATCGAAGAAGTAATTACACGAAGGGAAAAACTGAAGGATGATGATTAAATTGTAATTATGACTTCTCAATCAAATTTGTTTACTAATAATCAATTATCGTATATGATAAGAACTAGCCTTGTCTAAGCCCTATTTTAGGGATAAAATATTAAAATGTGTTTTCAAACAGTGATTTTTTGAAGAATGTGTGATTAAAAAATAACAAAAAATTTGATTTAAGTATAAAATTATATTATGAGAGCTCGTGTGGTTGAAAATGACGTTGATTGTGATTGATTATAACCTTAAAATTTTAATTATAACAAACAAGTTAATCTTATTTACTAATAACTGAATTTAAAGTGATTATAGTCTTCGAAGCATTAATAATAAATTGATCGATCGTTGTCAAAAAATCAAAATCAAGACTATCATATATTAGACTAAAGAATGTCAAGATTGAAATCACACATTCAAGACAAGTCCTTCAAGAAATAATATTAAAAGACAAACTTCAAAAAAAAGATCAATATAATGAGTTTAAGAGCCAAATGTCAAAAAAAGATCAAGACACTAGCCTAAGAGCCAACTTCGAAGCAAGATGAAAAATTAAATTTCTTAGTTCAAATGTAAATGTACTAAGGATTTGATCTGTAACAATGGATGATAAAAACTAAAAAATCATTTTATGTACTAAAAACTATTTTGATTATTACTTGCATAAAAAAATTTGATCAAAAGTAAAATTGATTTTCAAAATGATGTTTGAAATTAGATCATATTTTTAAAACGTCGTTTACCTTAAAAATTAGTTAAAAAAATCATTCCAAAAGTCTGCATTTCTCAAAATATTCAAATCGAATCAAATGGGTCAAAAATGGAAAAGCTAGCTAGATCGGCCTCAACCGTCTGGGTGTCCGGCCAGAAGATGCAAACCTCTGGACCATCGTTCGGACGGAGGAGGCAGATGTCCAGACAGTTGTTCGAAATCCCAAAGAGTTTTGACGGACGTCCGATTGGTGCAACGATTGAATTTTTTACCATTGTGATTTCAAATGCATAACGACTATTTTGGTCGTCCAGGCACAAGGGCGGACACCTGATTGGTTGTCTGGTCGACATATTGTTTTACATTTTGAATTCTGTAAATACACTTGCTCTTCCATTTTTCACAAGAGACTTTCAAGAGCATCAAAGTGAAGTATATTTTGAAAAAAAAAAATTTGAGCTTACATTTACATTTATTTTTTATATAAAAAACTTTAATTGATTCAAACTCTTTAATCATCATCTTCATCAAAGTTTTTCATCTATATTTTGTACTTATTTCTATTATTCATAAAAGATATATATATATTTATTTATTTTTTATTTATTTATTTATTTATATTTATTTTTAATTGAACTTACATTTTATTTATTTCTTCGTATCAAAAATTTTTATTGTTGAATCAAAGTTCTTAAATTACAATCTTTATCAAAGTTTTTCATCTCTCTCTAGATACTTAACTTGCTTCTATCATTCACAAAATATGGATATATTTTGAAGAAAATCCTTCTACTTCTTTATATCAAAACTTTGATTGATTGAATCAAACTTCAAAAATAATTATATTCATCAAATTTTCTTATCTCTCTCTTGATACTTAATTTATTGTTATTATTCTTTAAAAGAGAAGTATTTTGAGAAAAAAATTTAACCTATATTGCACTTTTTTTCCTTTTCATCTTCTTTTTGAAAAATTTTGATTGATTAAATTAAATTTTGCAATAATCATATTATCAAAATCTTATTACCTAATACTTGATATATTATTTATTGCTATTCATTAAAGTGTTAGTCTCTCCTAGT